AACTATCCGTGCAGATGCACAAGAGAGCTGCACGCACCTTGACTTTGTTTAAAAGCCGTTTAATGAGCTTAACGGATTCCCACTCTTTATTGATCATCAGGCGTATATAAATAAGTGTTCCATAGCCTAAAAGAGACTGAAGTAAACAACCCTTAAATACATTAATTCCATCTTAAAGAAAACCTCAGAAGGAAGTCGGACATGGTTTGTGTGTGAACAATACTACTGGAATGAACTGTCCGCTGCTGGCCCGAAAGAAAAGTGAAACGGTTAAATCATTTCAAAAGAAATTGTATGCCTTTTTACTGAAATTACAAGCTGGGCAAATTCGATTGTAAGGTTTGAATATCTTAATGGAGGCCCCACTGTACAAAAATATACTAAATCAATCATTCATTCATTCATGCATTCATTCATTCATTCAGCCAGCCAGCAAGTCTGAATCGCTTATTATCCGAAAGAAAATAAGGAAAGAAATACACATTTTTTTTTTTTTCATAAAATAAAATAAAACAATTCACCACATAAACTTCGAATTCCGTTGACGCTGATTAGAGCAAACGGAAATTTTGGAGGAAAATGATCACGTGTTCATTTCAAATCCATAACTGCTTTTGGAAGCAGACAAGACGGATAATTTCTAAAATATCGACTTCACTGCTGAAGCCTTGAGCACGTTTTGGTGAAACGCGAGAAGCTAAGAATGAGGAAGGTCAACAGCAATGGCAGCTACACGTCAGCTGTAAAGTGCATAAAAGAACACTTCATGTCTTTTTGGATCCATTTTAAAGGATCGTTTTATACTGGAAACCTCACCTCAAACGTCCGTCTCCGTGTGGCTGTAGAAAACGATTATTCAGATAGAGTTGAAGAAAATGAAACCTTTGAACTCCTCAAAATCTCATCGTCTCCTTGATCTCGTTCCATCGGTGAAGCCATCGGTTGTTTCCGTGGTATTAGTTTTTGTCTGCGGGATTCTCTGGGTGAGGAACGAAACAACAAACGAACGACTCATCGCACTAGAATCTCGCCTTCACTGTTTTTCCTGTGTTAAGAGCATCTCGACTGAAAATCTTAACAAGATGACTCCTTCGCCGAAAAAACATAGCGCAAAATATCATCACAAGAATATACGGACATCTATTTCAGAAGGGATCGGCTATACCTCAGGTAAGGTACAGTTTATCTTGTCCTACGGGTGACGTTCAGACATAAATTAATCAGTTTAAATTTTGTCCTGGGCTCTTCCTTCCGGACAAACCTCTCGGAGAGGTTTCTTCCGGTTTCAGCTTTTTTTCGGTAATGCACGCTACATAAGAACGTCTATATAAAATATTCTGCATATAAATAACTCTGCATTAGTTTTTGACCGGGTTGTTATTACAGTCAACTCTCTCTAGGACGGACACCTTTGGGACCGATACTATCCCTGATTGAGTGTAGATGTCCGGCTTAGAGAGACCTCCGTCTTAAAAAATAGAGTAGAGGGTTAAAGAAAAGCAGGGACCGACTCTGAGTGTCAGTTTTACAGAGGTGTCAGTCACTATAGAGGTTTCCGTCCAGAGAGAGCCGACTGTATGATCACGGAGGACCTCCTAGGCAAGTAAAAACCAATGAAGAGAGTCTCGCTGTAAACGATAATTATAGAACTTTTGGGTGGTCAGAAAATTCCTTTTCATCCCCCTTTCAATCGCCTGGCACGCATTGCATAGTTTTCATTGATGAATAAGGGGTGGATTACCCTGGTGACAATTTTGTGTATATTCATAATTAATTCGGAGGGGCGGGGGGGAGGGGGCAGGAACGAAGTAGAAAAAAATATATATTTACGCTGGGAAAATTAAATGAAAAATATTCATGCATGTATTCATGGGGGGCGGGAACGAAGTAGAAAAAAATATATATTTACGCTGGGAAAATTAAATGAAAAATATTCATGCACGCCAAATAACTATAAATAAAATATTCATGCAAAAGCCGGACCTAAAAAATTCATACGAAGGAAGTGTTTTAGTAAAACATTCGTGCGGCTCGAAAATTCCCCACCTTCCACATAACTTTTCTTGACTAATGGTCCGTCCCTAAAACTATAGATTTTGACGACGTGGGAGATTCAATGACCCGCTCAGTGCAATGTATATCCAAATCATCTGAACAGACTCAAAAGAGTAGAAATATTGCATCACCTTAAATCGCAGTCCATATTTTCTGATGCTTCCCAAATGGACTGACGCAAACCATTTGATTGTCCAACCGGATTTTCCGGTATTCCCATGTAAATGTAAAGGAGTCAGGGTTTACTTTGAGGCTTTGTGGATGATGGGATCGAAGGTCACTAAAGCGCGCTGGATTTATAACTGAATTAACTAAACATTGACTGCGAGGGACAAAGTTTGGAAACAAGGACATTTCAAGTGAAAGAAAAATAATATTAATAATAACTGAGAAGAGGATCGACAGCCTCGTTTAGACGTTCCTTATTTCCTGAGCTTTGACGCAGATCGACGCCTATTCCCTGCACAAACAATGCCCACTCTGTGATGGTGTACGTTTACTAACCCCGGTAAACCGAATGAACCTGTTTTATTCATTTAATATTTCACTAATCCAGCTAGTTATTAGAATTTCTAAATTATATTTTTTGCTACAGTCGTACCGTTGTCAAGAATGCCAACAACCATCCGTCCAAGAAAACGAAGACACGTTTTAAAAGACACTTCAGTTAGCATCACGATACATGACGTGAGAAAGGAAATCACCAAACAGTTTAAACAACTTATGCCCCTCAAGTACTGTAAGTCAAGTGAAAAGGTCTGTCCTGCAGGTCCCCCCGGACTCCCTGGTACCACTGGGGCAAAAGGACCACGTGGCAGGAGGGGACAAAAGGGAAAGAAAGGGCCTCAAGGTCCGATGGGACCACCTGGAAAATCCGGAAAAACAGGAATGACGGGGCCTGCGGGACCGACAGGAGAAAAGGGAGACAAGGGAGAACCCGGAGAAAAAGGCATGCCGGGACCGCCTGGAAGTCCTGGGAAATCGATATCTGCACCACAAGTAATGTTGTCACCGGCAAAACAGACAAGGGATGAAGGAGGAGATTCGACTTTTTATTGCACAGTTGCAGGAAATCCTCCCCCTGCGGTCGAATGGCGATTCATGGGTAGAAAGCTTGTGACAGGTGCAAAGTATTTTATTAAAGTAGGAGAGTTGGTCGTTAGAAATCTGAACTACAGCGATGCTGGACAGTACACGTGTCATGCCAGGAACATTCTTGGATCATCTGAGGCCACTGGTAACTTGTCTGTTCGAGGTAAGAGGTGCATAAAACATCTGAAGTTATGTTGTTATATCACGTTACTTGATTGTCTAATTTATACTGTATGCTCCATAATGTGCTTCAAGGGCGTGGATTGAGAAGCACCATTGTTTAATCTTGCAATTTTATCATTACCTTCTCTTTAATTTCATTCATGTATAAAATTTCCTTAATTTTTTTTTGTTCATCGCCCAGAATTAGGCGACATGCGCCCGAGACTTTTTTCTTGCTTGTTTGCGCGAATAATAAGACCAACGCTTGAAGGGTAAGACCGACGAGATAGTGATAATGATGATGATGATGATGATGAGTACTTACGTGGTTTTGTGTCTGGAAACCCAGGGCAAAATAACTATACACACCAAGTGTTCGAATCCCATATGTTGACTAAAGCATATTTAGGTTTTACTTTAAACCATCAGCAGACGACTAGCTTCGATTTCAGAACTAGATTGAAGAGACCACCTAACGTGAAGCAGTCTATAATAACTCAGGACTCAAAGCTAGCCGTGGACATTTCTTATTCAAATGAGAAGCCTCTTTAGCTGAGAATCCGCGCGCGTCCCTTCTGTTGTTATATGTCGGTTCAAGGTTTCAAGGTTTGTTCATAGTGGAAAGTACATTTCGCTTATCCAGCTACTTTAAAGGCACAGCATTCAATAAATAATTAGAAACAACTAATAAAATAACTTTATAACAGTAACAGGATTAAAAACCTCAGCTAGCGCCGGAGAAAGGCAACTTACAGGGTTTGCCATTTACAAGCGTCCCGGGGGATTTGAACTTGGGACGCGACCCGAGAACAAATCCTGCAAGGTTACAAACGGCATTCGAACCCGGCGCCGCCGGATATGCGAGTCCCTGACGCGGTGATCACTGGGCACGCATACGCTGCCAATTGTTATTCGTATAATGTATCACCTGAGATTCTGAGCGGGTGTAATATAAAGCCTTCCTTGCTGTTGCTTAAAACAAAATTAAATATAGCACGTATTAGTTACAATTATTTATAATCAAAAATTAAAATTAATGAAAACAAGTCGAAATCCATGCTGTCTGCCTTTTTTAACCAATAAATAAGTTTTTTAAGTTGCAAAAAGGTATTATGATACACATACAGTTAGTACTGTATAAAGTGTATTTTCCTCCTCCCTCCCATTTGTTTGTTTATTTTTTTTCGTTTGTTTATTTGTTTTTTACTTAAGTAAGCAGTACTGTGTAACGCATGTAAGTGGTATTCCCTGTTTCTTTTGTAATAAAGTTTGTTAGAATTTTGTTTTTAAACAGTGTTTTCACATGACGCCACGGCGGCCATATTGCATGGTATCGCAAAACAATGAAACGGCGGCCATGTTGGTGTCCCAAACCAATCCTGTAGGAGTTGAACTCTTTTCTTATGCAAACGGTTTCTTTTGTTCCAATGAATTTGCATAGACGCTGGCCACGTGAGTGAAAACACTCTAAAAAAGCGTTTTAATTTTTTTAAGGTCATTAGTTCTGGGTGTGGAGATTGGGAAAGTGATGAGTGACTCTAAAGATTCTAAGGGAAGAAAAATAATTGTGTTGCTATGTTTTTTTTTCTTTCAATCACAATTTCCATTTTAGGTCTTCCAATCTTCGCAACAGTTCCACCTTCACTGGCTTCACCGGCACAAGGTGCTACATTTCAAGCAAAATGTCAAGCTGAAGGATATCCTCGCCCCGTAATAACCTGGAGTCGATCGGTGTTGCCTTTACCTGCTGGCAGAACTGAGGTAAATCAAGGTGCACTCACCATTAAGAACTTAAGTCTCGCTGACAGTGGTTTGTACGAGTGCGTAGCAACTAACATTATGGGAACAAAGAAGACAAGGATCAACGTGGTGGTGCAAAGTCGTTTACGTTCAGGTTTGCATTAAAGGGGTTTAGAGTTGATTCTCGGTGATGAGGCAGAACGAAAGAAGTCATTAAACATGTATTAAACAAGTCCAACTTATTACGATTTTTGAACTCACGAAATGCCACCAGAGACCTTGAAAAGGCTTGCTATCCTTAGTTCAGATCCTACAAATCGACCTTTACGTTGTACCTTTATACTGGCTTGTTTTCTATGTTCGCAGGTATAGCAGTTTTCTTTTTATTGACTTGAAGGGCACGTACATTTGACTTGAATTTTGTTTATGATTTTTTTTTACTTTTTCTTCAACCAACTGCGCATGCTGTTAATATGTTTTATGTTTTGGTGAGGCAAATGCTATATTGCAAGACATAAGTTCGGAAGTTCGGATTTGATTCTGATCCTACTTGCTACTTCTTCTTACCTCCCACCTGCTTGTATAATTGACCTTTTCCAATTTGTATTCCTAGTTATTTATGGAGAATTGATACCATCATTTTTTCTAATTTAAATAAGCCCCCCTCCCCCCCTACAAATCCACTTGAAATAAATAACCCCTGGGGGCTTACCTGAGGACTTATTTTTCTTTGTTATGACACTTTGAGTTCACAAATCCTTTAGCAGGCTGCAGTATACATAAAATCGTGTGTTTACAATACTGTAAGTTACATGTTGTACGTGCAAAGCTGTTTTTTTTTTGTTCTTGCTAATTAAAACTATTGATGCTTTTGCCGTTCTCGTTGCCGTCGCCGTTTAGCATTACACGATTTAATTTGTTTCTGTTTCCGGAGTATTTAACTATATGTATACTAGAAATACGTGAATCGCAGAACCTTGCGAGGCAGAGGTTAAGAGAAAGGAAAAGAAGGTGATAAGGAAAAGAAAATATATATATTAAAAAACAAACAAACAAACAAATAGGCAAACAAAACAAAACAACAACAACAACAAAAAAAAGAAGAAGAATAGAAGAAAGAAATGGTGCTAAGAAGGATTCCAAACCCGCCCCTTCGGCTCGACGCGACTTCACCTTACCACTACACTACTAAGGATGATTTTTTTTTAGGGAAAAGTCTTTATTTAGCGTCTTTTCTATGGAACCTCCGCCGGCAAACGCAGTTTAAAGCTGATCGAGCCGTATTCAACTACAATTCAAAGGTGTACTGCAGGAAAATAACCGGGCTATTTACAGTTAAAAACCAATGTAAAAGCATGTCATGGCAATCATATGAAAGAACAGCCTAACAAAACCGATACGAAACGTCTGCGAAGTAGAACGCAAAACACATGTTTTCTAAATTTCAATTTCCGCTCTTGTTTTGAAGCATGGTCCAAATCACATCCCTTTTTCTGTGAAAGGTATTTCTACGTACGGAAATGTATTGCTCAAAGCCTTTCGTGACCTCTTAAACGGCCGCTAAAGCAATTGAGCCAGGTTTATGGCGCTTTTGTTTACACGTTGCCTTGTTGTTTGCTTCGATCGCCCAGATCGAGAGGGAGAGATATTTAAGACCAAAGCAAGATCACGCCTCGCTTAACGATTGACGTATGCCTTGCTTCGCGAGAATTAACAAGAGCTTCGCTTTTATCCCTTATTTTGATGACCCCAGGTTTACATACTAAACATTTTGGCGGCAAAAAAGGATTAAAGTCTAGCTTTAGCTAGCTTAATTTTTTTTATTCTCGATATTTTTGACCAACTAGTTGGATTTTACTAAAACAATTATTCCTCTCGCCCTTATGGCCTCTTGCGATTAGAGTCCCATTCACAACTCTCTTTTCCATATTTTACGAAAGTCAAGTATTATAATAATTATTATTATCATTAATCTTTTTTCCTAAGGTTTTGAAGCCTCCGTCGTTGTGGGAAACAACGGAAACCACTTGACTTCGTTAAGAAACTGGCTAGCACCTGTGGCTAAAGGCGTTTATTCTCTCTGGAAGCGCTGTTGGCGTGCATCTGTGGACGGTTGGGCTGCAAGTACATTTCACTCACGATGTGATGGCAAGGGACCGACTGTAACAATAATAAGGGTTGGAAAATATATTTTTGGAGGATACACCAGTGTTTCATGGGGTAAGTTATTGTTGTTGAGATAGGCTGATCCAGGCGTTCAGATAGTAGAGCGCGGTCTTCGGATGGTGGGAAGCGAGTTACGCAAAGGAAACGAGGACGAGCATCATCAAAACTATCCAGCCTTTGGATGCACAGATTGAATGGATGTTTTTGCACTCTTGTTAGATCTTGTTCTAGCCTCACTCCTCCCCTCATCCTCTCGTATCATCACTATTTCCTGAATTTAAAGACGATTCTTATCATTAGGAAGCTTCATTTGAAACTAAAAAGTACTTATACGGCCATAAATATTATAATCATTTAGCTGGGGATTCCAGGCT